AATATGTACTCGTGTCCTTCTTTGCTTCTAGGATTAATTGGTCCATATATATCCACATGCCACCTTCCGTGTAACATTCCTTCCTGGAATAATTTAAGTGGTGCTTTAGTCATTCTGTGTGGACCTTTGAACTTGGCACACACTCTGCATTCAGATATTACTCCTTATATATCATTAAACATTCCGGGCCACCAGAAGAACCTTTTAAGGTATGCGAGTGTTTTTGTTATTCCAAAGTGATTTCCTAACCCCAACTGTTCATGGTATGCCTTAACTGTTTGCTCCACCAGTTGTTCCGGGAGTATTAGTTGTAATTCCTCTTTGCTTTTGTCTCCACTAGGATGTTCAAACTTTCTGTATAATACTCCACTGTTTATGGTGAGAGATTTGAACTGTAGCCACAAGGTTCTTGTTTTGCTTCCACACTGGGCTATCTCCTGAAAGTCTGGTCTGACTCCATCCTCTACAGCCAAAAATATGGGCATTATGGATTCGTCCAAAACTTGTGCTTTGTGTATGTCACTTGGTGTCAATCCATTTGGGACTACTGTTGTCCAGTTTACCTTTACATTATCTGCGGTAAGTCTGATGTGTTTTCTTTTGTTTTGTATACATGTTGGACAATTATCTAGGCATTCCAATGTGTCTGCCACAGTGCTGCATTGGCACACAAAAGCTACCTTGTCTTTTTCTTCTAATCTGTCACATTTGTTACAGTTTTCACATGGTCTCCTAGATAATGCATCAGCATGTCCTATACTGGTTCCTTTTACGTGGATCACCTGGAATTTATATGGTGCTAGTCTTTCCAGCCATCTAGCCAACTTGCCTGTGGGGTTCTTAAAATTCTTAAGCCACTGGAGTGCAGCATGATCAGACCGAACTGTGAATGGTGCACCTGCCAGGTAATGATTGAACGTTTTTATGGCTTCCACTAGTGCCAGTAATTCTCTATGTGTTGCACAATAATTTCTTTGTGCTGGGTTCAATGTTTTTGACCAATAGGCTAATGTGACCTCCTTTCCATTTTGCTCCTGTGTCAGAACAGCTCCCAGTCCTGTTAACGAGGCATCTGTAGTAAGAACAAAAGGACCCTGGGTCACATCCGGTGTGCCTAAGATTGGTGCTGTGGTTAGTAGTTCCTTAATTTTCTCAAAAGCTTCTTGACATTTTTCTGTCCATTTGAACTCGTGCCCTTTTCTCTGTAACTGGCATATGGGGCTTGCTATAGTGGCCATGTGTGGCACATATTTCGAGTAGTACTGTACCAGTCCTAACCATGATCGGACTTCTCTAACATTTGTTGGTGCTGGCCACTTGAGTATTTTGTCTATTTTATTCTGATCTGTTTTCACTCCTTTTTCAGATAACCTGTGCCCCAAGTATGACACTTCTGGCTGGAACAACTCGCATTTCTTGGCCTTCAACAGAAAACCTGCTGCCCGTACTCTGTTGAACAATGCTTCCAACTTTTGCATCATGTCCTCGAACCCATCTCCTCCAATGCATATGTCATCCAGGTAAACTGACACATTGTTCCCCAAGTCATTGTCTTTATTCTTCTCCTTCGCCTCAGTGATTATCCTATCTGTTATATACTGGAAGGCTCCAGGTGCTGCGGACAGTCCGAAACTCAGCCTTGTGAATTCAAACTGCCTGTGTGCAAGCCCTAGCCCCTCTGGTAGTATAATGGCTGTTTTTGCCTGATCATCTGGGTGTATTTCTACATTATGGTAACCATGGGCTAAATCAAACGCGTGATACATCTTTTTACCTCCCATATGCTGTAGTAGGTCTTGTACCCGGGGTATCGGTGTGGCTGGTACTCTTGTTACCGCATTGAGAGCCCTGTAATCAATGCATACCCTTACCTCTCCAGTTTTCTTCATGACACATAATATAGGGGATGCCCACGCTGACTGGCTCGGGACTATTGCTCCCTGTTCTAGATACTTTTTGATGGTTTCCATTACTGCTTGTCTGTAGTGTAATGGTATGGGTCTAGCAGTTTGTTTAATTGGAGGGTGATCCCCTGTGTCTATTCGATATTTGAGATAGGTGCATTTTCCAAACGTGGTGTTATCTTTAGCAAATACGTCATGATGTATCCTGAGCTTGCTTTCTAATATTTTCTTTTCTGTTTCAGATAACAACTCACTTTTGTCTACCAATGTCTGCAAGTCCGCTGGTAGAGGTTCTTCTTCTCCGATAGGTGGCATTGACGGTTGTGTGTTATATTCGGCATCATGAAAAGGCACTGTGTCATGGTTGACTACGCAGACCCTGGCAGTGTCTTCTCCTTCTTCTGTGTCAATTGTGTCATCCTCTGTGTTATCCTCACTACTTGCTTCATTGTATTCCTCTGGATGCAGAATAAACACTTCCCCTATTACAGCATATTTTGGGACTGTGACGCATTTATCCCCTAGGTTTTGTAGCACTATTTTTATCGGTGCTGTAGTACAGGGTACGAGTCCTGATTGTGCTATTACGGCGGGTGGTAATTTGGATACTTTATTTCCAAACGCAGGGTTTGATACAAAAACCCCAAGTTTTATTTCCTTCTTCTCAGACGATCGGTCTTTCGGTTTACTTGTTTGGGATCCCATTTTCATTCCTCCAGAGCCTGACGGATCTTTTGAATCAGCGTGTTCCAGTTCCGGTGCCACCCTGCTCTGGGTGTGACACCTTTCCTGCGAACCCTGATCCCTTGCCCGTTCACGGCCTGGCAGGTCGTCCACCCTTCCCTCGGCAGACTCATCGATCGCCACATCTGTTCTTAATACTGTTGACAACTCCGTTTCGACGAACGGTTTCAGAATTAGATTTCTTTCCGCTCTTACTCGGTATACCACTTTTCCAGCCGTATAGGTTCTTGCACATGTCGAGGACTCCAGTCTGAAAGTGGTACTTACTCTGTTAGCACCTTTCCCCGTCTCCAGTACCTGGTCTCTTATCTTGACTACCGCGTCGAATTCGTGTAAGAAATCGATTCCCAATAGGTGTTCCTCTATGTCTGCTTCGTACGTCAGGAACTTAAATTTCTTTCCATTTATTTGGAATTCAGTCATCGCCGGGCCATAAAGGTTTGCTTTATGCGATGTCACTCCCTTAAGCCTTAGCTTAGCGACTGGGAGGTCTCGTGTCCTGGGAATAACAGTAATAACAGCCGCTGTATCAATAACACAATCTTTATTTACTCCTTCGACTTTACAGTTTATTGTCGGCGCTGTTGACACTGTTGTACAGACATTACACGTTACCTCCCGGTGACTCGGCTCTAAAACTTCTTTATTCACTTGCTCGGTCACCGGTGGTATTACATTCTCATTATCAATCTCCATGTCCACCGTTTTCGTGGAGATTGTCTCTAGTTTTCCTGATTTTTCTCTGGTACAAACGGTACCGTTTTGTCAGTGCTGGTGGAGGCTCCATTATTTTTATTCTGGTTCAGGAACCATTGAACAGTGGCCTTGTAGAGGTCCGGTGGGACATTTGGCATTGAGAAACCGCTGCTAGTGGCACCGCCTTTATTTCTGCAGTTTCTTGCGAAATGCCCCGGTTTCCCGCATGAATGACAGTTCATGTTGCTATTGTTATTATTAGCGTTGTTAGGACCATTGTTATTACCATTAGTACCATTATTGTGCCAACAGTTGGCCATTTTATGCCCGATTTTTCCGCAACATCTGCATGTGATGTTTCTATCACTATTATCACTACTGTAGCCTCCACGTCCTCCGCGAGATCCTCTTCCTCCGCGAAATCCTCCTCGGGATCCTCTTCCTCCGCGAAATCCCCGAGATCCGCGTCCTCCTGTTTGCGTTGCTGATGACGTACCTGCTGCTTGGTCTGGATAGACCATGTTGACTTTTGCTTCTTCTTCTTTCTCCTCCTTCTCTTCTGCATCCTCCGTTTTTGTGAGTCGGATTTTCTTGGTTGGCGGTTCCTCGATTTCCAGGCTCAACCCTCTATTAAGGATTTTGAGCGCTTCGTCCAGCGTTGGAAGTGGAGCGAATGCCAGCTTGGCTGCTGCATTCTTGTCTGCTAATCCTTTAATGAACCGCTGTACCAGTTCCTCCTGGATGTCGCTCTCCTTCATGTTGCGCAGGTATGATCGCCCTAGCCGTTCGACCTGTCTTGAAAATTGTCGAATGGTTTGATCTTTTTCCTGGCGCAGCGTGTTGAAATCCTTCTTCCTTTCCCACATTGATGCTGTTTTGCTGAAAGTCTTCACGAGTGCCTCGTCCAGAGCTTCGAACGTGAGTTCCACTTCCGCACTCTGGAGGTTTGCGATGACATCCGTGGCATTCCCTGTAAGCGCTTGAAGTAGCGCAGTTTTCTTGTCTTGTGTGGTCCATTCGTTTGCTTCTGCTAACGTGTTGAATTGCACTTGATACACCGAGTAATCTGTGTCCCCGTTGTATTTGGGTACCTCGTTGTATTTCTTGTTTCTGGGCCTGTTGCCCATGTTCTCTAGCAGCCTGAGGAACAGTGCAGCATTGTTGCCCTCCGCCTGTTGTTGCTGCTGCGGCCCTGGATGTTCTTCCATGTTCTCATACTCCTCGTCGTCATAGTCTATTTCCAGCACTTCCTCTTGGTCTTCGTCTTGGTGCCGCCGTGCTGCTGCAGGAATCCTAACTCTTCTGGGCTCCCCGACTAGAACCTCAAGCGGTTCTTCTTGCTCCGGCGCTGCCCCCTGGTCTTCATGTGCTTCTCTCGCCTGGCCACCTTCAACAAAACGTCGTGGCACTCTTCGTTGTCGCTGAGGACGCCTTGCTTGTCGTCGAGCAAGTAGCCCATCCTGTTCCACATCCTCTCGGACCTGGAACTCCATGATTCGTCTTGCTCGGCCGCCTCTGCCTCCCCGGCCGCCTCGACGACCACGGCCTCCTCTGGGTCGACGTTGTCCTCGTCCTCGCTGGTAGTGTCCTGCCAGCTGACGATGGTGCTCTTCCACGATGACCTCCATGTCCTCCAACTCGACGTCATGGGCGGGCTCCACCCGGTCTCGCTGCTCGGCGGGACGTTCTCGATGTTCTCGAGGCTCCCGGTGCTCGTCTTGCTGTCCGCCGTCTTGGTCATCCATTGCGGCCGTAGGTTGATGCTATTGCAGGGTTTGAGCACCTTCTCCGTCTGCATTCCCTCTGGGTCTTCCCCGACAGACGCTAAAAAGGTCCGGTCAGTTCTGACTCAACCTCTTGGCGAACACTAATAGGTCCTTCCAATCGGTTTTCGCTTGCCCGTGCGGGAGGCGTCCTGTAGTAGGGACTTTCTCTCGACGTCCTTCGCCTCCTTGGGGACACTAGCAGGTCCGCCTCAGAGTCGCTCCCTAAACCTTAGCGGACACTATTAGGTCCTTCTAAGGAGCTGGATGAACACTAGGAGGTTCTGTCCAACTTTTTACTCTTTCTCCTTCCCGCGATTTTTACCGCTGCCACCAATGTAATATTGGGGGAAACACGAGGGGATGCCGAATCAGTAACACTAGTAGGTCAGCTGAGTGGAGAATGGCGACGAGTCAAAGCCCGCGCCTCCTTTTATTGGGTGTTTGGCATAACAACAAGAAGAACAAAGGCGATCGTTAAACAATGGTAGGGTCTGTGTTCAACTGTAGATGTCGCTCCATAGTGATCACTAGTGGCCGTGACTTGTTTATGTTAGGATGTGGTCTGCTGTGACCAGGTTAGGTTATGTAGGGTAAAACCTCATAATACTACACTATTATCTGTTGATTTACAGACTCATTTTCCTTTATTGTTTGGTTGCGCACACTTGTAAAATAAAATAAAACAACAGTTGAACACGTCTATTATCTTTACTCGGAAACTCCCTCTTCTAAGTTCCTCGGCTTTCCCACAAATCAGAGCTGCTTCCTAGAAAAATAAAAGACAATCGGTTAGATTGATAAAATAAAAACACTAGCTTACAAATTAGCTACATGATTTGCTTACCAGAGTTAAGATTTAGAACTGTGACACCAAAAGGGGGAAAGGGGAAGGGGGGGGGCGAGCGCTGCGGGTCCAAGACGCCCAGGTCGTCGTCCTCGCGCTGTAGCCGTACCCGGTCCGGCCTAGTGCAGGTGGCGTCGCCGACGGCGAGGGAGCGGGGGCCGCGGCCG